CATTCAGAAGTATCTAGAAGCATCCAGAAGCATCGAAAAAAAGCATCTAGAATCTTTCAGAACAAGTTACACAGGTTCATTTTACTAAATAAGAGACATGTAAACCGACATGTAATTCAGTCAGTATATGGAAGTCAATCAGTCAGCATTATCAAGACAGTTTATCGAAGTTACTTTTATCAAAGTTTTTTATAGAAGAACAATAATACAAGAAGTGAAATATAACACGTGTTTCATTACATCAATATAGTTCCCACCCAACGAAGACGTTGTGTTCCACAGGGCATTATTGAATCATCACAAGGTAAATGTAAGCGGTAAGCCATGAGAAGCGTGATTATTTATTTTTATTATTTTTATAACTTCAAGTGCAAAAATGGCTCCCTACAGTCTTGGATTAGAACTAAGAAAACAAAATTATTGGCGATTACGTAAGTGGAATGTCACAAAAATGTATTAGTGATAAATATCACGTGAAAAAATGGACCGTATCAAGAATATGTTCCAAATAACGTTCTACGGGGAAGTTGGCAGCAGATAACAAAGGTGGAAGACCACGTTCCACTAATTCTAGAGACGATTCTATGATTGTCATTTCCGTCAAAAAGGCTCCCTGGATATCATCAGTTGAGATACAAAAGCAATTAGAGCTGCCTGTATTGGGCCGAACAATCAAACGACGTGCTGTTAAAGCCGGATTGTTTTCTCGACGCCCTGCAAAGAAACCGCCTATTTTATTAAAAAACCGGAAAAAAAGACTCCTGTTTGCTCATCTCATATTAAATGGAATGTGCAGAAATGGCAAACTGTCCTATTCAGTGATGAATCGAAGTTTAAAATCATTGGGAGCGATGGCATTTACCGTGTATGTCGACCAGCAGGAAAACGCCTAGATTTACGTTACTGCCATAAGACCGTGAAGCATGGTGGAGACAATGTGATGGTCTGGGGGTGTTTTTCTGCTAACAGTCTAGATCCAATACAGCGAATCGATGGAATAATGGACCGTTTCATGTATAAAAATATCCTGAAAGATATGTTGCCTCATGCTGAACGGAATATGCAAATAAAATGGGTTTTTCAGCAAGACAACAATCCGAAACACACTGCAAAAGTAGTTTCAAGATAACTAACTATCGGTGATGGATTGGCCGTCTCAATCTCCGGATCTCAACCCTATCGAGAAACTGTGGGAGATCGTCAACCGCAGAATTGTTGGTGAAGGTGTTCGTAATAAGGATAAACTGTGGAAACAAATTCAAAAAGGCTAGGCAGCAATTCCACAAAATTTTATTGATTATCTGATCGAACCTGTGCCTCGAAGATGCAAGGCTGTGATCGATAACAAAGGATTCGCCACGAAATATTGATAGCGAAATACAGCTTGGTCAACATTTTGTGGAGTTGTACTTGTTTTGTCCAGAAGGAAATCAACTTTTTTGTAATACTTTTGAATAATTTAATTATTTTCGTAAACAAATAATGAACTTTGTGATGAATTAAACTTGAAGAACGTCTCTAAACATTTACATAGGTATTTCTCTAAATTGAAAAAATGCAGCACTTTTATATAAAGAATCTAAATTAGCATTATTATGGTTGCACTTGTTTTGTCCCATACTGTATATATATATATATATATATATATATATATATATATATATATATATATATATATATATATATATATATATATATATATATATATATATATATATATATATATATATATATATATATATATATATATATATATATATATATATATATATGTATATATATATATATATATGTATATATATATATATATATATATATATATATATATATATATATATATATATATATATATATATATATATATATATATATATATATATATATATATATCACGGCCTTCTATAATAACAGGCCTTGACATCGCGCAACTAAGTTGTTTAACTGAAGGCCGATATCTAATACTGTATTTACATTCTTTTAACGTTAGACGAAAGTTTTGCCTTCGCGCTTTTTTAATAAAATTTTTAAATTTGATTGGTTTATAAATTAGATAGCGCAACTTCAAAAGTTGTTAGGTTCAAGACGTTAATATTGGCCTTATTACAGATATTTTAATAATTATCATAGATATTTTAATAATTGAAATGCCTTTAAAATGCTGTGTACCTCTTCGCAAGTCGAACTATTACTCAACTACAACAAAAATATCAATTTACAAATTCCCAAAGAATCCAGAGGAGAGAAAAAGATGGAGCGATGCTATCCCAAGAACTGGTTTTACTGTTTCAGACTATACAGCAGTATGTCGACTGCATTAGCCAGATGATGCACCTTTTGAAAGCAAATATGGGAAGCAACGGCCTTTTATTTATCCACCATCTGTTTTTAAAAATATACAAACTAGTTGTTTACCCACACCAGCAAGTAAAGTTAGAAAAACTGTAACTTCAAGCGGTTTTCGAAACATTCTACCAGATGAGTTAAGTGATTTTCTAAAAAAGGATGAACTTATATTTGACGATATTCAATCTTTGTTAAGTGATAATAACGATGTTAATGCTTTCCAGCTTAATAAAAAAAGTTTACACATACAATCAAAAATGTTCAAACTTGGTGTTCCATTATTTATTTTAGAAATTTTTGGTGATTATTCATTTGTAGCTTACCATAATGGCACAACTTGTAATATTTCATCTTTAACTGTAAGCAAATTAAAGTTAATAAAAACAAAACCAGCTTTATTTAAAGCAGTTAGATTTTTAAAAAATAAAGAAAGTTCGCATCAGTCAAATATTTTATTTGAGCACCTTAATGCTATGAAAAAAGTTAATGTTGGTGAAGTCTTATATACTCCAGATATTATATGTAGAGAATATGAGTGTTTTGCTATGCGACGAAGTTTATATAATCGTTTATGTATTGACTACAAGTTGCTAAGTATACGGACTTTAAAACGATTGACTTCAAAATTAAGCTCGATGGAGGACCTAAGTTTTGTAAATAGTATTTTTATGATTTTAGATCAATTGAAAAGAACTTCCATACTACTAATTGATGAGGTTTATGTTAAAGCTTTATTACTTTACCAAAGAGGTGCTTTGTTTGGTCAAGCAGTAAGCTACCCTGAAAAGTTCGCTAAAACAATTTTATCATTTATGATTAAATGTCTTTTTGGTGGTCCAGAATTTATATGTAGAGCTCAACCTGTTGCAAATCTTTCTTCTGAATTTCAGTTTACTCAATGTCAACAAATTGTTGATACAATAAATAATATTGAAAATAGTAAAACACTGGCAATAATTACTGATGGTAACCGTGTCAATCAAAGGTTTTTTGAAATGTTTGAAACAGTTGATAATAAACCATGGTTAACAACATCAGGTATATATTTATTGTATGATTATGTGCATCTATTGAAATCTATATGAAACAATTGGTTAACAGAACAGACTGGCTAGCTTCAGTTTTTGAACAATGGAGAACTAGCTTTGGCTAAATGGAGTGACTTATAAACTTTATATAGAACTGAATGCAATAGTCTTTTTAAACTTTCTTAACTTACAGCTAAATCAGTTTATCCAAAACCAATAGAGAGACAATCTGTAAAGTTTTGTTTGTCTGTTTTTTGCGAAGAAACTGTAACTGCATTAAGAACACATCCAGAGATTGAAAATAAAGCATTTGAAGGTACTGCTGTATTTATTCAAAAAAATATTTCTTTTTGGAATGTTGTAAATGTCAATGCACCTGGCGCTTGTATTCGGTTCAGAAATGAATTATGTGGAGAAATCCACTCTGTTGGTGATCAACAGTTACAACTGCTACGAAGTATCGGTGACCTGTTAAGTTATATGAAACCTACAGGTAAGCGTGTAAAATAGCTTACTCTAGATACTAGCAATGCAATAGCGCATACATGTTATGGTCTAATTGATTTTGTAGAAACTTTGTTGAGTATGGAGCAAAGTATGTTTTATTAGGTTGGTTTACAACAGATTCACTTGAAAAAGCTTGTTCTAAACTTTGACAGGGATCTGGAGGTACTTTTTTTATAAACGCTAAATCTGTATATGAAAAATTAATATTCAACATACTAAATTGATATAACAACTTGACATTCCTGTTGATGGTATTGATGGTCATACTTGTGACACATGTTTTAGAGATATTTCTACTGATGAAAAAGAACTGCTGGATAATATACATGATCTTGAAAGCTCAATTAATAAATCTACATTAGTGGCTATAGTTTACATAGCTGGCTATGTGCAAAAAAGCGAAATAAAGATTCATGATGACACTAACAATTATTATTATAATTATGGAAGCTATCTGAACAGCCTAAACAGAGGAGGACTTGAAATTCCTTCAGATACTCTAGTCCAATGGTCAATATTTTGGTTTTTTTTTTTTAAGTTGCTACTGTCCCTTTTTGCAGAACATTTTGTGTTACTCAGTTCAGTTCATTGCAGCTAAATATAAATTTAAAGTCACAAAAAAACAATGCAGAATTTATTCTAATATTTTGCTGAAGAATTATGCAATAATTACAACTTCCAGCAGTAACAAATCTAAATCTAAAACGAAAGTACTAAAGCTGCCATAATTTATGTGAAAATTAGTTTTGTAATTTATGCTATTTACTTGTTATGTTTTTTATTTCCCCTTTAGCCTTAATGTCTCTTGATATGTTTGGATTTGTAAATATTTAGTCTGTTGAGATATATTGATAAAACTTTTTTGCAAGAATCCATTTTTTTTTTTTTTTTTTTTTTATTGTTGGTGATTTTTGTTATCTTTTATTTTTAGTTATGTTTCTGTAAGCAAATATATATATATATATATATATATATATATATATATATATATATATATATATATATATATATATATATATATATATATATATATATATATATATATATATATATATATATATATATATATATATTTAACGTATAAATTTTTAAAATAACTATAATAATAATAACAATGCATAATGCAGGTTGTTGACTAATGGTTTATCATCAAAATTTTATATTACTGGCGGTAAGAATAAAGAGAAGTTTGAAGGAACACACATTTGTATGGTTGTTACCTGTAAGTCAAGTGTAAAATTTTTTATTTTTAAAAATCAGAGTTTGTTGCTTAGATGCTATTTTATTTTTAACTTTTTATGTATTTGATGCAAATTATTCAGGTAATACCAATTAAAGCAACTGATACAAGTGCTTAATTAAGAAAAGGAATAATGACTTATCTAAAATACGCACACGACAGATAGAATGATGGTGGTCGGCGCGTATAAGACGATTCACCAGATATATAACATTCATACTTTTTTCTAATTGTTCTGGAACTATTGTTAAATAAAATATTTTTTTTCTGTTTGCATTGTAAAATAATGTCCCTTAAAGCATTTTAGTTGTGCCTGATCTAGTTGAATCTGATTATTTTACGTGAAATATAATATTCTTTGCGCAAATTATTGCTTTTTTATTGTATTATTTTATTGTAATTAAATTTGTGATAATTTTTTAGTTAATTGGATGTAACCAAAACAAAAAACAAAAATTAACGTTGAATTTACGTTGTTTCAACGTTGCTCTAACGTCTTATCAACTATGTATCAACCGAATATCACCTATTTAAAGTTGAAATATGGTTAATATGTAGTTGATAAGACGTTAGAACAACGTTATTATTGACATTGTTTCAACGTCGTTGTTTTAAACGTCGGATTTTGTTTACAATTTCACCAAATTTCAACATTGTTTCAACGTGTCATATGTTCGGTTTGAGACGTTGTTTCAACGTTATTTCAACGTCATTGTGCCTGCTGGGAAAGTATGGATGGATAGTTCCATGGAAGAGTAAAACTGGAGTTGAAGTTGCTGATGCTTTAAATAAAGTCTTTAAAGAGAGAAAGTGCACTAGATTGTGGGTAGATAAAGGTTTAGAATTTTATAATAAATATGTCAAAGCGTTATGTATGCAGTTATATTCGACTGCAAATAAAGAAAAAAGTTGTGTGGTTGAACGTTGGAATAGAATAATGAAAGAGAAAATGTTTAAGTAATTTTCAGCTTATTTTACGGTATAATAAAAACTAAAGAATATTAGCCTCATTTATTTTATTAACAATTGTATGCAACATAGTTAAAATTGATTAAAAAATGTAGGATAAATGCAAAAAGAAACATGACGCTTGAAGGTTTATGTTGCCACAAACTGACAACGCGCAAAATTTTTTGATTTAACGTTTAGATTAGCGCTTAAAAACACGTTTAAGACAAGGAAACTTGACGCATGAAGGTTAATATTGCCACACAGTGACGTCAATGCGCAAAATTGTTTAGGCTTAACTTTTAGATTAGCGTTTTTAAACGCAAATCTAAAAGTTAAGCCAAAACAATTTTGCGCATTGACGTCACTGTGTGGTAACATATATCTTCATGCTTCAAGTTTCCTTTTGCATTTATCTTAGATTTTATGATTGATTTTAATTAGGTTGCATTCAATTGTACAAAAAGGTATAAAACTGGTAATATGC